ATGTCAGGGAAGCTGGCCTTGTTATGATCAAAGCTGAATGTGAACCAAGTACACTAGTCAGTCTGTTTCTGTCTCTGTCTCAGATTTAGCTTCTCCCTGACACTGTTCTGATATTCTTGTAATGATTTCTGTAGACCAGGCCTCCAGTCAACAGCTGAGGACAGCTAGGTCAGCCAATATCACAGTCTTTTGTTTGAAAAGTCTGAAAATGAGGTATTCCAAAGCAAAGATGCTGCTCTGAAGTATTCCCTTCTTTAACTTTGCTTGGGGGAGCCTAAATTTCTGCTTCTGCAGATACCTTGCACAAGCACCTCTCTTTATGCTCCAGACAGAGATAAGTGACTTTTTACAGATTTCAAGGGTGTGATTAGAAATTCACAGCTCCGTGGATTTTAAAGCCAGAGAGGCTGTTGCGTTAATCTAGTCAGAGCTAATGCATAGCACGGATCAGGAAACCATCTTCTACTACTTCCTGCTGCAAGTCCAGCGGCTGAAGCCGAACTAGGATCTAGGTTTTAGAAAAACACACAGCAGCTTATTAAGATGAAGTTCAATAGTCTTTCAGGGGAAAAACTCACCAGAGCTTCTGGTGGCTTGTTCGAATTAGTAACTTCATCCAGTGGTCAAATAAGCCTAGTATTTCTACATTTAATCTGTCAACCTACAGCTTACAACTATTAGTTTCCAATAAGCTTTTTGCCCCCAAGTCTGTAGTATTCTCTATTATCAAATGCCTATCCTCCTTATCAGTATTTGCAGACCATGATTAAGTTATGTCTTAACATGCTTTTTAATAAATTAGGTAGATTGAGTCCCTTGAGTCCCTCATAAAACATGAGCTCAGATTGTTTACTTGCTCTCTCAGATACTTTCTGAATTGTGCCCATTTCTAAACTTTTTCCTTGAAGAACAGGAACCTCAACCAGACATGCTGCATTTCAGCAGTTTTTGCAACAAAACAATGACAATTATTACATGACTTTCAGTGGCAAAAGGGGAAAAGACAGACAAAAAAGGAAGAAATCATAGAATGGGGCAGAAAAGAATGAAAGGAGTTAAAAAGAGGCAAAGTAACAACTGAAAGAAAATAGAGAAGGAAGGAAAGACTCAAAGTAGGACAACGTAGTAAAGAAATAAGTAGCTATTGAAATAGAAGCTCAGGAAGAAGCAAGCAATGATGAAAAGACCATGCAAAGCAGTGTCTATTTACAAGTATGCTTTCAGAAGTTATCTTGGCAGTTCCAAGAGGCTGATGCTCGATCCTGCTACCTATCCCTCCACTCAATTGTTTCAGGCAATCAGTGATCTCCGACAGTGATCATTGCATGATCATCCGTGCTTAAGAACACATACTAACGCCTTTGCAGAATTTTCAGAAGCAGAGCTCATTAGCACCACAAGGCACCAAACCAACCAACCAACCTCCCTGAAACCCACCACTCATGTTTGAGTTGAGCTCCACAAGAGAAACGTGGAAGGGACTGTGTCTCTTCCCATCCCCCACCCTGAAAATACCTGCCTTGCTTCAAGGCCAGCACTGGAGGACTCAGTCAGAAGAAACAAAAGGTGCACACACACAAAGCACACATATGGAGCTCTGGGCTCCAGTCATCGAACCTGGGACATCTGTGGCCTTCTCAGGATGCCTGAGTATTCAAGTAATTAGTCCAAGGCCAGCTGTGCCCTTCTCGCTCTTCACCCTTTATGCTCCCATTGCTTCTACTAGGAGTGTCTGTCCAAAGAGTATTTTGTCTGATGGATCACCAAAAGAGTAGGTTTTTTGTTGTTTATTCTTTGGAAGGAGGGAGTGGATGAGAACTAACTGGTTAGGCAGTAAAGAGGAAAGGACTCTTCTGAGTATGTCTCATGAGACACCTCAACGTTTCCAAACAAGCTTTTGCCACATCCGAGGAAAGATTTGCTTTAAGCTTTATATTCTGAAGTTATAAACTCCAAACGTTTGTGCTGGTACTGAAAATGCAACCATCAATAGTGAACCTGTCTGTTCAGAAAAGCTTACTGCTTTACAGACACATTCAGGTCTTGTATTCTGGGCCTAATTTCCCTCTCAGCGATCCAGAAATAATTCAGAGAAATTAATGAACCCTATTTCAATCTCAAGATGCTCCCTATAACACACTCGTTTCTGAAATCTTTCTGCCGATTTGTGCTAGAGCAAACTAGAGGTACCGTGGGAGGCAGGTCTCCACATCAGTGGGGGTTACAACAGTGCGGCTGAAGAAACGCAGCTGAAGCTTTTACCAGTTGTGTGAAAGCAGGAGCGAAAACAGAACCAACCCTTCTGTTCTCATCTGTGAAATTACATTTGTAGCTTTGCCCCCAAACCAGGCTCCCAAACAGGCCCAAGCCGGAGCTGGGAAAGGAACACTGCTCCCCAGCCTGCGTTTATAAGGGCATGACAAAGCAAAAGGCTCGCGCGTGCATTGAGCAGCCCTGTTCTCTGACAGAGCAGCAAGCGCTTGGATGATACATTTACTGCAGCTTGCGCTGCATCGTGCCTGGCCGTGTATCATCTCCATAGCAGCAGTTCTGCTAATTGAGACCAGCTGCTTCAATTCCAAATTCTTCTCTCCAGAAATATCGATACTACGATGTTATGATTAGAAAGCACTTTACCAAATGCCTCTCAATTCTGCACAGCTCAGATGAAGAGCAGCTGCAGAAGGAAGGGACAGTTCCCTGAACATACAGAATAAAACACTGCAAAAACACTGGAGAAATGAAGGCTATAAGAAGCAAGTCAATATAGAATAATGATGGCAGAGAAAGCAGCCTGCTGTATATGCTTGTGCCTGTCATTTTAGATGTTGAAAAGACTGTGAGCAGACTTCTTCCTTATGCTCTAAGATAAATGGCCACAGCACTGCAGTGTTACAGCTTCATGCGGCAGGTGTGCGTATTTGTCAGATCCAGTTTTTCTGTCCAAGGATGGATTAAAGCAAAATCCATCAATCTGGGCCTGGCTTGGGAGAGTAGCTGCGGTCTTGAATCATTTGGCTCCAGGGACTGTTCTGCACGGCCCACTGGCAAAGACAGTCATTGGAATTGATAAGCTAGTAGGAAGATTTGCAAAGTAGGAATGCCACCACACCACCACGACTTGGCTTCACTGTTGGCTATTTCCCTGTGGCTGTTGACTCCACGCAGCAAGCTGTCAGCTGGATGCTTTGCAATGGTCACACTGGGATTGCCAAAAGCTGCAAACATTTTTCCCCTTCGGCCAGGCTGGATAAAGCTGGCTAACAGTACAGTCAATTCCAAATTCACTTAGAAGTCTCAGGCCTTGTCTGTGACCATCAGACACAGGGCACTCCTCAAAAGACATCTAGTTACCGAGTTTATGGAAGAACTGGGCAAACCACTTCAATCCCATCTGTTGTTCCAGCCTCCTGTGCACAGAGAACAGAATCCTTGAAAGGGAAAATGTCACCAAGAATGGTCTGAAAATGAGAATCATGACACAGCACGTGGATTCCTCCTGAGAAGGATGCTGTACAGTCTTACAGAAAACATGGCACACTTCAGCATGTGGCCGTGTAAACAAGGGCCTAACACACCGTTTCACTACTCAGATTTCATACTACAACTGAGGTAATGCAACACAACTAAAGCAGAGAGATCACTTTGCTATGCTAAGTGATTTTCCTCCTACTCTAAAAATCAATTTAGTAAATAAAATGCTTTATACAGATACCAGACAGTGTCTCTCAATAAACAAAATGCTCATGTTTTTAAAAAATATTCCTACTATGTTACTCTGGAAAATATTCAAAATGTTTAGAGTCGCATTCAGATTTTACCACTTACACACTTTGCTTTCATTGCGTTCCATTCATCCGCTGAATCTCCCTTTAAAATTGCAGTTTTCTTACCTATTTTGCTTTCTAACTTTTGGTCTGTATTAGAAGACTGTTTGAATCCACAGCACTGCAGGAGAGGGAATACTTCAATGAAATTCCAGTAAGTCTGAACACATTACAATTGAATATAAACTTTAAGAATCCTTCTCTGACAAAAATAAACTCACTGTATGCGTAACGTTCACTGACTACATATTCCTTTAGCCTCCATTTTCTTTCTGCACCTAGTAAGGTTGCTATACTTACTTGTGCTGGGAAGCAGCTGACACAGAAGTACATATAAGAAATAGCAGTGTAAAGATATATGCTCCATGTGCTTAATAGGGAAGTTACGTCAATAAAGTGCTCTACGCTGCATGCAGACCTGTTAGCGTCATCTGCAGGTGACAGCTTGATGGAATTCTGTTATTGCAGTGCAGTTGTGTTCCCTCCCATCAAGCTGAATTTAGCCCTTCCAGTCACCAAATTACATGAATGAACTTCTATGCATATATTTATTTTAGTTTTAGTTTTCCAAGACCAGTCAATGACACTCATGTAAGGAGACCGATATCACAAGACTAGGTAAAAAATGAATTAAGCTCTTCTGAACACTACAGTTGTTGGGACCATCAGGACAGACACTTTGATGGTTTCCAATGGCACAGCTCTGTGGATTGTTAACAGAACTACAACAGCTTTAAACAGTCGCGGACCTTGGCGCATCAGATCATAATGAACCCATGCAGCAGAGCAAGCAGTAGGAGTATTCAAACAACAGATTTGCCAGCCTCTCTTAAATCTCTTCCTGCTGACATTTGTACACCTCAGTTTGCAATGTATCGCAACTATTATGCACTGCTGCAGTGGTGGAAGTCAGATGCCCAACACACATCAGTCCCACCAGAGAAGCAACAACTCTGCAGCTGACCGTTTATTTTGTTCACAAAGCACGGGCATACTCCCATTTAATTTCAGCTGCCCTAGCCTCCCCCATAACTAAATTATTGTTATTATGCTCCACATAATCCTGGTACTGACAGGGATGTTTGTTATACATAATTAAAAATATTAATTTTGGAACAGAAGACACAGAGCCAAGAACTTAATTTTTTTTTAAATCTCCCATTAGAAAATTACCTTCATTAGCACCGACTCGCTGAGCTTCTCTCTGTTGACAATTTTTATCGCGACCTTCTGACACGTGACACAGTGAACCCCCAACTTCACAAGCCCTGCAGGAGAAACAGAGCAAAAGAGAAAGGAAGGATTGGTTAGAAAGAGTCACTGCTGAGATTTTTGCGATTAGTACGCCACCCAGCAGTTGGCAACTTATATGCAAACAAATTTCCACTAGTCTCTCCTCCAGCCAGATAAGGTCTTGTGAGTAATGAAGACCCTGCAGCCCACATTGTGACCATTTGGCAGGGAAGCCACCAACATCCTTAACACTGCTGCAGTTTCCGCCGTTAAAGCTGTATTTTTGTTGAAGCACTGTATTCCAGCTCTCACCACTCAAAGTGTATTCTAGCAGTAAGAAGTAAACTTCTGCCAATTTAACCGCACTAGGCTAAGGGCTTTTGCCAATGCCTGATATCAGCGAAAGCTCCGAAGTCAACAAAACTAGATGGTCAAAGGTCTGCAGTGTAGACATGGCCTCTATGTTTTTCTAGCTCCTTCCAAAGTTTTCATGATCATAATAAAAAGGTACTTAATTATGCTTTCCCTTACTGTTTTAATTTGCCCTGCTGTATAAAGTTAACACTGTGATGAATGCTGTTGTGGCATGGAGGAACATCAACATATGCTGATGCAATTCTAAGTTCTTCTTATTTGTTATTATTTACTATATCCTTGTCCTCAAACAAGTTAGAGTGCTGTTAAATGATTATATTGGCAAAAGGATATGGATGTCCGATACAGAATCAGGATGCCTGAGCTATCACCAAAATATGGAACAAAACCCCAACAATTAAAAGAAAGAGGTAAGTAACACACATGAAGCATTATCTTCTGCAAAATTTTGATCTAAACCTGCTGACTTGCCTGAAAGTACATAGAGATATCTCCCACAAGTGAGTTTAAGATGGTCCCTAAGCTCTCAATTCTATTGCCATTATTAAGAAAACTTGTACCTGGAAAAATTGTCAAGTGAGATCTTGTTTGATTCAGCTTTTACTCTTGTCAAACAGGCCCGTGCAGCACAACACCCAATAGGCTGGATCCCATCCCACTCCACACACAGTATGCCAAATTGCCATTTAGTCTGATTCAGTTATAACTGAAGTATAATGGCACTTCCCCGGTGTCACTGAGACCTGCTGGGCTTCGCAGAGCATTTACGAGCAATGACGTGCATAACAAGAAAAAGCGTAGCTCTGCTTGCAGCTCCTAGGCTGGGTTGCAGTTAAGATTCTCACCCCATCACGTGATGCAAACCACAAAGCCAAAGACGTTGCTTTATCTGCAAACTGAACACAACATAAGTGCAGTCCAGTGAAACAATGAATACAGGACTTCACACTTCCTATCAAGGGATGAATATATAGACTATTGCCTTACTACAAACTGCCCCCAGTGAAGTGAACTGGAGTTTCATCAGAGACTCCAGCAGTCTCCTGCAGATACTTGTCCACCGTTTTGTTACACAGTTAATCATAAATTTGGAACCATTAATCACTGGCTATTATGCTGAGAAATAAACTCCTGACTTGCTTCCAGCCACATCTCTTTTATGGCATGCTCAAGTGTTCTGGATATTTCTAGTCACATAATTTCTCAGTCTCATCTGGTTAAATGCTGACATCCTTACTTTCAGCCATGACATAAACAAGTCACAAAAATTAAGAATGCAGCACACTGACAAATCCATTTGAAACTGTGTATAGCAATAGACTGTCCTCTGCCTGAAGTGGCTGAGAAGCACATCTGGGGGAAGATGCTGTGATGCCCAGCCAATCCTCACTCTTCTATCTAAATTTTGTCTATTCAACAAATTTATAATATTACCCATAGCACTACTGGCTCTATGTTCACCGTTCATAGCAGCTGCAGCCTTACTTATGCTTCTTCTCTTTGGCTTTGTTCTGTGTTTGGATAGTGGTTACTTGGCACCACCTTGTTGAAAGTGTGCAGAGTTTCAATCTGTGCTGATTGCTTCCTTCCTGCTTCCAGCACCAATCACAGCTCTACAGCACAACCACATTGCTCTTTACATCGCTCTTAGTTACTTTCAAATCTTGGCAGAACTTCTAGCTCAGTCCTTTCTATCTAGACTCCCAGGATCTGTGGCACAGTGCTGTACTGTAACATGCTGCAGACTAATTATTTTCAGAGGTCAATAAAGGTGACAAACAACTGCTCTCTGTAACTGGGTCCTTCACCCAAAAGAAAATATAAAGGCTTCTGGTATCTCACACTTCAGGGTTTGATTTCAGATGTTGCTGCTCCCAAATCAAGACGTCCGTCCCACTGAACCTGGCTGATCTGTAAACTATTTTTCCTTTGTCCTCCCTGAAGCACCCTGTCATTGAGTCATAGAAGGGTTTTAACCATAAACTTCTGGGACACCACCATGCTGTACATGCAGTCTTCACAGTGTCCTCTGTCATTCTGGCTACTAACCTATCACAGAAACTCCAAAATTAAGATTAAACCATTCTGTTTACTCCAATAAAAAAGTTAATCAACTGTTAGAAGACACTTCACACCCTGCAAAAATCACGCTGATACTGAATCACACCAATTTTATATTGAATTAATTTCATCAACCTCAGTAAGTCGTTCTTGATTTATACCACAGTACCAGAGGACAGAATGAGAAAACACATGTGAGATTTAATGCATTTTTCCTCTTCTCCTGGTTTGCATTATAAAAATCAAGAAAAAAAATGCACTATCACCACTGTCTGTTTTGTGGAGATAGAACTTTAAGACAGCCCTCTGAACAGTCCAAGATAGCACTTTTCACTGTACTAAATTCACTGAATATAATTTTAGGATAAAAATAAAACATGTCGCTCTGCCTTGCCTCCTCCCCCTTCTCCTAGCCACTTCCTTTTGACATTTACATGCTAGCCTAACCAAAAAAAAATCCCTCTTAGTAAGTCCATCTATAGGATAAGGCCCTCCTGCTACTACGAGGAAATCCCAATTGAGCTTGGGCAGGAAGGGCTTGTACTCAGGACTTCTGTTCATGTCCTGTAGTTCCAGTCCAGTGTATAACTACTCGGAGATGACTTAATGGGGATTTGAACTCCTGTGGGCTTCTGATGCTTAGGAATTCCTTTTACTGACACAGAGAACATAAACCATTCAAGATGTATTATATACCTGCGCAATGACAGACCGTTAGAGATAATAAGAAGCAACTATGTGACTAAACTGCTGAGCTATTATTGAAATGGAAGTGGCAGAAATGCCCACTGAGAAACAAGTGTCCAAGGTGCATTTACAGGGTTGTGAAAGAGGCTGTGGATCTTCTAGATTTTCCGCTCCTGTATATGCAGCTGTTAATGAGCACCTCGAATCTACAGCAAACCTCCAATACAAACATGTCAGTAAGTTAGGTACGTACTTGTAAAGCTTATCTATACGTTCAGGACAGCACAGGTACCTGTGTGGTCCCCAAAGGAATACGTATAAGGCTGCCGCTAGGAGGATGTTTTGCACTGGCTTGACTTAAAGCAAGTCTGCCAGGCAACAAATAGAGTTTGAACTTGTCAGCTTCATGAGTAATTAACCCCTCAAATGCAGGCAAGTAACCATCATGATTGTTAAAGTTAACTCTGGTCTGTCCTGGCAGAAAATCTAAGATGCTGTGGGAATCAAGCACTTCAAGTTTCCCCCAACCACCCACATAGCTGTCACAAACACTCACTCCTTCAGGCACACTTCAGATTTCCATCCATAGGTGGTTCCTGGGGGCTCGTGGGCAGTGACGTGCTGGGCTTTCAAATAGGCTGTTACATCCTCTGAGCTGCAAACATTGGGCTGCTTTTGTTCTTGGCCACTGAACTGCACCAGAACTAGCCTTATAATTTCAGGTTGGGGAGTAAAGAAAACATGAAAACGCTGAAAAGCAAGGGGATGTGTAAGCTAACATTGTCTTTTCATTTATAATTAAAAGTCATGATTTGAAAACCCATGAGCATGAGGAACCCCAGATGACACAAGGGCAAGATGCCATTCAAGGAAGAAGAGCAAAGGGAAGTGTACAGGCCTGACACAGCCTAATGCTGCGCTGACCTGCTAACAACCATGCCTGCTCATTCTGCTGCTGGTAAACTCCCATTCTGCAGACACTTAAAGATACACAGATCTTTTCTGAAAAGGACAGGAGCTTATGTGATGAGCAAGGGACAGATTTAGATCAGCTGGACACACAGGCAGCCCATCGTGAAGCAGTACAGAGAGGTGTCCTTTATTTTACCCAAGAAGAATTTACTGTGGGGATGGAGAAACAAAAGCTTCCCTCCAGCTGAAACAATATATTCACTGTGAACCCATGATCACAGCAAGTCATCTCCGTGGCTCATCTTGTAACTGGCAATCACCTCCCTGACTTTTCAGCCAATGACAGGATTTCCGAAAAGGCTGATTTACTTTTGCCTTGAATTCTGTGTAGCAATTTTCTCTACCACAGACTGAATAAAACACTAAGAGTTCAGAGTTGGTGCTATTTCATATCCACTTTACAGTTGTGTAAATAGCAGCATGAGGGAACACAACTATGGGTAGTAACACCTTACTAATGATCCTGTTATTACAACTCTTCATGAGAGAAAGAAACGTTCTGGGAACAAGAGAGAACTGTTTTTCAATCCTATCCAAACTTGGAGTCTGCCAAAGACACCAGTCTGAATAAAATTATCATTTTGAGAGAGAGAGACTAATAAATAAGGAAACAACATTGTTGTTTAAATACAGCACTTATGGTATACTCATTGTTAATGAATAACGTTCCCACAGTCTTTCAGAAATGTTAAACACAAGTAACCCATTATCCTGATTTTTAACCATAAGGCCCATAACTACTTCAAGAAGTGGAATAAAAATTAGGTATATTTGCTACATTTAATACATATGATTTTTCCAATGGTAAATGGAGGTCTTTCATTTTCTTTTAAAATAAAACCAACCCAATGCCCTATTTGTAAGTATTGTTGAACTTCTGTAGTAGGCAAACTAGCCACTGATCTCAAAAGATCATCTGCATGTTGCTTGCTCTTCATTT